TATATATATATTTATGACGTATAAATGTGAGTGAGCGCATTTGATCATGAATTCTCATATGCCTTATCGTAATATAGACTTTCGATTTAAGATGTATATGAAATGAATGGTCAATGATAACACTAAGATAGTGTAAATATTGACTTGAAGACGACAAGTGGATAGTTCCATAGGTATTACAAACCCATTTCAGGTCGTAAACATACCTTTGGCCATAAGCTTCTGCCAGGCGAATAATTCATTAGTGAAGGATTCCGCCGCCGAAGAAACTGTGTTCCTCACCATATCCCACATCGACATCCTGGCTATTTTATCCTAAACACTGACGAATATTGAATATGCAATCGTACAAAGTATTACAATTTTCCCAGTCGTAGTCTGTACTGCACTTCAGATGAAAGCATACGGGAGAATAGTATTAAATATGTAATCTGCGATCACTGAGATTATATAAGAGAAGAGATACGCGACTCTAGATTTTAAATAGAATGAGGTCTATCCCATGTTTGTCTCTTGGTGTGATGTATGTAAATACATTTTGCATTGTTTACAATATTTACACGTAAATACAATTTCTTCTACACAGTTGCAGACTTGCAGTGTATATATTTAATATTTTTATTATTTACATAGTTGCTCATTTTGCTTTTTGTTTTTTACAAAACCAAAAAATACCCTTTTGTGGTTGTTGCTTTTTCTTTAACAGATTTCCATAAATAGCCTCCTAAATTGTACAAGATTTCAGATTTGGCTATATATGAGCATTTGTTTGTTTTTTTTAAACAAAACAAAAACATTGAAAAGTAGAATGGACTATGGAGTGAACCAGTATTTCTATATTTAAAAACAATACTCCTAAATATTTTACATAAAAACCTTTAGTTTTTGGGGGGGTTATAAAAGAAAAATGAAATATAACAAATACGAAATACTGTCAGTGCAAGACCAAGAATCCTCTGTGCCACACCAGTGACTCCACACTACTCTTCTATTTATTTTTTCTGACACCTACCGAGTACCGACTTGTCCTCCTGACAGTCCCCTTTACCATTCTTTCTGAAGAAGAAAAAATTACACAGCCAAGACCCTCTTTCTCTCTACTATTTATGACTACTATGTACCATGTAATATGTAGTAGAAGTGTAAAGTTTAAGGGAGAACGGACAAACCCGTACGGCGGCGTACGCATCACAACAAATAGCAATCTTTGAAGCCGCGGGATCTTTTGGGGTTTGAGGGTTTAGGGTTTAAACCCCTAAAACACTGTTCACTGGTGAGTGCTGTGTTGACTGTTGAGGACTTTCCAAAAAAGGAATGTGAAAATACTATTCTCTTTTTGACCAATTTTTATTTTATTTTGTAATGACAAACATTCTCTTCTTGTGTCTCTAAATTTTCTCTCTCTCCTATCAATCTCCTGAGTCCTAACTCCTGAGTAAGAGGCAGGGCTGAGACAGTGATAACACGCCTATTTAACTCGCATGTGGTCTGAAAATATTAGAACACATGGGTATTGACTACCACTATGGAACACAGGCCCGAGGGCCGATGCCCGCGTGTGTATTTGAAGTTTCGATGATCCGGTCCAAACAAAATGTAAAAACGACCCTCCATCAGTCAAAAATGTTTTTTTTCCGTTCCTTATAATTATATTTGAGAGCATCATTTTTATTTTTACACCACTCCTAGAGTTCTATGGTATGTAGATCATATTTTTTTTTGAAACTATATATAAAACCCTAAAACTCTAAAATATTGCACCAACTGCATCGCGACAGAAATAACGATATAAATATTTTTAATTTTGTTGTCGTTTTTGCTTGCTTGTATACATGATCAATCACCATGACAGTCGATCACCTCAGTGCGACGAGCACAGGCTTCGTCATCAACCGACAGCTTCACGCCTCGTACAGTCTCCTACCAACTGCCGTTGAATTGCTTTTAATATATAAATATGTGCAGTATGTACGTATAATTGTGACCCCACAGTGACAGTACTCGTCGAAATCGCACTGTGACTTACCTTGAGCAATATGACCGATCACGTCGACGCTGTATCGAAGCCATTGACCAAGCTTCCAATTGAGACCACGCCGCTACTAGGTCTAAATGTTAATGTGGAGCATACTTCAGACAACGAGTCTGCGGACTCGACTGGCACGGGCACAGCCACAGCCACAGCCACAACCACCGCCACCTATGGGTCTATAGCTGCATCTTCCACGTTGTTCAATGGGCTAGTGGGTGTCGGAAGCTTCAGTTTACCGTACGCCTTCAAAACTGCCGGGTTAGGCTTAGGGTTGTGTATTCTGTTAATAGGTGCCGCGTGCTCTATCATTACCAACATATACACACTTGACTTCCTTGCACGAGCTCCGGAAACTACTGCACTGGCTGATAAAGAGAAGAGGGAAAGACTGGAGGACCATGGAACACCCCGCAACGCAGACTTTTCACACCCAACAAGTAGCACTCTGATCACATCTACCGAGGTAGTCCATGAAATCAGCAGTGTACAAGTGTATTCCTTCTCGGATCTGGCTGGTCTATTCGCGGGCCCTATTATCAAACTTCTTTCGCAGGTATTGTAAACCGTTGCAATTATATTATGTTCTATAAGCACTATATATATATATATATGTGTGTGTGTGTGTGTGTGTGTGTGTGTGTGTGTGTGTGTGTACGTACTAC